ATAAATAAGAAAATAAATAATTGTGAAGACCAAAATGTCCTTCCTATAATCACTCTCGTTGCAGGAAATTTGAAATGGAGCAACAGTTTTCATCATTCGGCTTTTATTTATTATCTAGATTAAATTTATTTGTCATTTTATTTTTATCGATCAACATACATGTCAAAAAAATGTTAGGTATGCCACGAATCATATTAGAAAATTGTAATAAACAAAAATAAGTTAAAATTTCTCTATGAAAGGATTTGATGACGAAATTGAGTGGTGAAATATTGCGATAGATTGATATTTTCATCCCCTCCCCCTCTCATTAATTATAGTTCCACTGGCTAGCAAGAATTCGTACCTACAGAGGTTTCTTGATCAAGACTTGCTACCGCAAACTTCAATGATTTGATGTCTATAAATTTATAACCTTACACTTGCAGCTTTCATGTAGTTGAATAGATAATATGGTTTTATATATGTATATATAACCTTATACTTCGAGGGTATATTGAATATTTATGCACCTAATCTTAACTTTCAATCCTCACATGCCGAATTTTTTCTTAGACATGTAGGATGGTTGTCAAACCACGGGTATGCCAATTGAAAAAATCAAGTTCAGTCGATATTGGAAGAAAATCGAATGGAAGATCATCGGAATAAAGTAGCAGTCAAAATCGATAAAAGAACGATCAACACAGAGAAAAGTGTTATCGACCCCAACGGACAATTTTTCGGTTTCTAAACAAAATGATGCAATTTTGGTGGAATTAAATAAAAAAAAGAAAGAAACATGTTGTTTTTAAGAAACCAAATTTTTTAATAAAAAATAAATGAGAAACAAATTATGATTATCTGTATATAGATAAACCTTTCAAGTTATGTGTACATAAGCTTGTGTATGTACGATTCATATATGATATATTGTCACCATAATACTTTTTCTTTATGAATTTGTCACCATAAATATATGCTTCAATATAAAATGCTTAGCTAGGTGATAATATTAGGTATAAATATGATTAATTAAACTAAACATTTATAAATTGAAATCATGGAGATGGTGGCATTATACTGTCTGTGCATGGGGGCAATTATTATACGACAGCAGGACATAATCTATAACCGCAGCTACATAACAAAAACATGTCCAACCCTCTGATTTGATTAATGCATGTGTAAAACAGCCAGATCCTTCCATGTTAATGGTATTTAATTATTTTGGTAGAACAGCTGGCTCCTATTGCTCGATGTTGGTTGTTGTTACCTTACGCATTATCGTTTCTCTAGGGTTTGCTTCAGCTCTGTCTTGTCGGTCTGAAGCTTCATTTCCCAGTTGGTTGATGTCTTTGTGTATAATGTTGGTGGGAGGAGTAGTATTGCACGCCAATTTAACATTCCGAACTTTTTCCGACGAAAATATTGTCTATTTTGTGTTTAGACCTGTACAATTTTTGTATTCAGGTGTATAGCTAAGTGACTTTTTTCGAGAGGTCATTCACCTTACAGTGCACTACAGTGAGTATGATTAACTTCAGAGTTCTTACATGAACTCTATTAGGACACAAAAAGATTCGTTTGTAAATGATCATTCTATAGTTATAAGGACTTTGTTTGAAATAGATAAAATGTAATTAGATTAGTTTAGGTACTAAATTATAAATTAGTTAGTAAGAGTCCCTAACCACTTCTCTCGCCTTTTGTCTCTCCTCTGATCTTACTGTAAACACAGTGTAAACCAGCTCTGTAAACTGGATCATGTACGTTTTTTTCATGCAATTGATCAATAAACAAGAATGAGTTTCACTTGAATTGAAAATCGAGCATTGTATCAGAGCTTTTCAGAGCTAATTTCGTCTCACATCCTCGCTTCCGCATCTATTTCTTCTTTCCTTACTTCTTTGCTATCTTGCAATCCGTTCTTCTATACTGGTTCATGATTCTTCTTCTTCCGGCGACGAAGCAACAAATCCTCATAATGGAGGTCGCAAGATGAGTTTTGGTGGAGTTATGTACAAAAGCGTTTCGGTCTCCGATCCGACACGATCTTTATCTTGGGGTGCATATCAAAGTGACTTTCGGAGAGAAGTCACTACTCATTCTTGCAGTGTTCCACAGTGAATACGTTTAATTCCATAATTCTTACAAGAACTCTTCCATTTCACCCTGATCTTGCCGGTTAAAGTAAATTTTTTATTTATAAATCATGAATCTCTTTAATTCCGGAATCTCTCGATCAAAGACATGCATCTGCCAACTACTATTCCGCCAACTACGTACAAGTGTGATTGATGTGGAGTTCAGCCCAAGTACGTTGAAGCATTAAAGTCTTAACCTACAAGTTAATTTCAACGGTCATATTAATGTTTGTTCAACAGTCACACCATGGTTATTATATTGCGAATCAACTGGCATCATATACTGCATTGTATATGTGAAACCAGAAAGCACAAAATATAATTAGGGTTATTGCTATTCCGTTGAAAAGAGAAGATTGGTAATGCATATACTTTATGTACCTTGTTCTCTCCACTTGGAATCCTATGGGCCATCTCTTTGCTTGTTTAGGAGCAAGACTTGAGAAAGCAGTTAACTTTAGACTATATATATGCTTATTATGCCTCGTAATAAAGTTTTAAATTTCCTTAGTTGCTAGTACTTTTGTTTTCTTTTATTATTAGTAAATGAAGAAAGCATATGTTTTTTCCTCTTAGTGCCTAAGGGGTTTGATTGGGTGCAATCGGATCGATGCCAACATCTGCACCATCAAAATCTGTGAACTATCATATCAGCATTTAGTGTGATGACAATTTGAACCCGCCCCGCGGGTATTATCCGACCTGACCCGCGATGGGCGGGTATTACCTGACCCGCACTAGCATGGTGCGGGGCATGAGTATCTACTTCGAACCCGCCCTGCCCCGTTCTTGGCCCTTTCTAGCTCAATTCCTTATAATATCTATACATTTTTCCTTCTATTTTGACATTTCTTCAACTAGTTAGAGTCGATCTTTCAACTGGTTACACTCAATTATTCATTATATTATGACTATTTTTCATTCATAAAGTATTTTTCAACTAGTTAGAGTCGATCTTTCAACTGGTTACACTCAATTATTCATTATACTATGACTATTTTTCATTCATAAAGTATTTTTCACTTTGTTTTATCATGAAAAGCAAAATTTGCGTGTTTTTTTGAAATAACATGTGAGAGTGGGTCGACCCGCCCCACCCTGTACCCGCGCGAGTTTTACCCGCCCCCGACCCGTATTAGCGTGGGGCAGGGCATGGGTATTGAGGTACCCGCCCCGCCCCATTGCCATCACTAGTTATTCAAGTTATGCATCCTTTTCTTCTCCTCTTTCATTTTTTTTCCGGTCGTTAGGGTACATCCTAACGGGTGCTTTCAAACCTAGTTGGGAGGTGTGATTCGAACTTGTGACTCTCTCTCTCTCTCAAGTGTCCCCTAGTCGTTCAGTATTGGGACAATACTACTAATGTGTGTTTGAGAGGATTCATCCACATCGTCTCGCCTGTTAGTTTCAGCGCATATGATGGTTTCTCGAGCGACATGCTCACCTTACCAAAACCTTCTTTGTGTTTGGTTGTTATGGAGAATATTGTCAAACATGCATGCACAATATAATCTCGTGTTTTCCAACTCTCTTCATGTGGCAATATAGTTCTCTTGATCGTCACGTGATGCTGGTGTAAAACGAGTTCATCAGCAAAGAAAGAAACTTCCTTTTTCTCCCTGTAACTAGAAAGATCACCAAAAGCTTAGGTTCATTACTTATAAAGAAGAAACATTGTTGCTGTTGGCCAGTAATTTCTTGAAGGGGCCGGGGGACTTTTTTTTTAGTATGAGATTTCTACGAAGGTTACGAGACTCGTAGTTGAGTTTCTAGCAACTGGATCTTTCAACGGAAAAAAAAGGGTATTTGGTCAATAGTGTCTGTCATGGTCATGGCAGCTCAGCATTTTTTGACGATCAAGTTCGATGTGAGAAATTTTCAAAAGTAAAGGTGCGTACAAGTTATGAACCGTTAAGTTTAATTGGAAGGGATCATTAATAATGATTGAGCATGTTATTAGTATATACATTCTGCGGTCCGTTCACGAATGTTAATTAGTAAACTTCCCATGGCCGATTTGTAATGATCATAATATTTAATCCTCCTTAATTATGTGATTAAGCTTTTGGCTTCTGTCTACTTTTCCAAGATAATTATATGCTTGCTCTTTAATTAGGTTTTTGCTTTAAGGGAAAATATAAACAAAATGGGGGGAAAAGAGAGAAAGTATTGATTTTTCTGTTCAAATGGAAGCGCTCCTTTTTAGCCTGCCAATATAGAGGAGGAAGAGGTAGGATCTAGTTAGATCTTCTCAACAAATTTGACCATCAAAAGTAACAGACAACTACATATATAGTCTGAAACACATGCACGGGAGATCCTCCAATCATCTATTGATTTATTGGAAAAAAAATATCAACATAATTTGGCTTTAATTTCTGAAACACGAACCAAAATTTATTATATAGTTATACTCAAGGATTAAAACACCGTACCGTATCAACGGTTCGACGAGAAAACCCTCCTACAAGAGGCTAAACAGGTAGGCGGTAAGAAGCGGTTGAATCACAGTTAAATAACAATTTTAGCATAAAATATCATACCACTGACTTTTTCGATACAATCTCGTATACAATATTTCAATCCTTGATTATAATTTAATCCAGAATAAGATATTAATCCATTATCATTTGAACACTCCTAAATATCATATCACGATGTGAACCTTAAGCCCAACGCAATGTCACGCTGAGTCAGCCCATAGGAGGCCCAGCCCATTGCCAAGGGACACAGCTGAAGAGTCATTTGGTGCTAAATATTTATCATAGAAGTCCCCAAAGTTTCATCATTCACGTTAAGGCACCTTAAAATTTTAAAGTTTCCTCGAAACCTGTCCCAGCTCTTTAATTCTCACACTCTTTATTTCAGTCGCGATCCTGTCTTGCCTTCCCTCTCAAGAGGTCTCACGCTACACAAACACCTGGATAGTTCTTGAACATTTTTTTCCTTCTCTCGGTTTGGGGCCAAATCACATCAGTCATTTAAAAAAAAAAATCTTCCAAGTTACGGCTCAACGAACTTCTCCAACAGCACCGAATTCGTCTTCTCTTTCCTGACTTCTTAATTTGTTGCTTCGCTTCATCCGGTCGATCCCTCCTCCAACGCCATTGTTGTCTCCCGCAAGCTTTCGCAAACTTGGCTCCCCTTCCAGCGGATGGACGCCCGATCTGCCCGATCTCTTATAGGCGTTTAACTCCGATTGGAGCTCCTCCTCCATCCGTCTCTCCCAATGGCTGCCTGGCTTAAGGCCGCGGAAGGTGTGGATCTCTTTTCCCTCTCACTCCTTTTTCTTTCCCGATTCGAGAGAATGCTAGGAGTACGATTGCGGAATCGAGAGTGAGTTGCTGAGTGTTTCGCGCTGTGTATGTGTTCCCATTTTTTAACTATCTGCTCGTGTCAGTTAGCTGGTTATGAACTTTGCTTCAGATTATGCAGTGAAATGTGTGTTTCTTTCTGCTCGGGATGAATTGGTTAGTTGATCATTTGAATGCGCTCACTAGGCCGTGACAGTGCGTGCTTGAAGTTTTTTTTTTCTTAGAGCTGTTCCGTCACCAAAATACAATGTCAAGAATCCTGGTAGTAGGTTAAGGATTCCTGAAACAGCTAATACTTGAACAATGTGTTGGCCGCCGCTGGTTCGATATGAAGTTGAAGGGTGATGATGTTTAGAGGTCAGTGAAAGAGCTTGGCTACAAAGTGATTGAACCACAGCTCTCACTACGTGAAATGTGGTTCGATAGGATTTCGAAATGTCACGGTTTTCCTGATTTTACCATCAAAGCATTGCTGGGAGCTTGCATTGGAATCCCTTGATTGTGCAGTCGAGTCGAGGACCCTTATGAAAAAGCCTCTTAGCAAGGCATTGATCACCTGCCTGCTTACGATTAGTTAAAGGACATTGGGAAACCCTCGTATTTATAATGCTGATGCACTACTCACATTTCGTGAGTCCTATTTTTTAATGTATTCCTAGATGTTAATTCTGTCTGGATATGTGTTGGGAACATGCTTCCAATTGTCAAAGAGAGACACCATCTCGATATCTGAACTTGCTATCAAGATCATAAATTAGCTATGGTGTTAAAAAGAAAGTTTGATTTCTTATCATCAAGTCTGATATGTTTGCTCATTTCCTATTCTGGTGCAGGTCTGTTTGAAGTTGTTGATCGGCAGGCAAAGCTAGTTGTTAATGAATTGTCAGAAGAGAATTCTGATTCTCAGCCATCTGGTAACAATTTTAACTTGGCCATCAATCTAGTAAATCTTTGATGTCACACATCTGACATATATCCAGAATTTATGCTTAAGCAGTTGAAACCTTTCCTCCTTAGAAATTAAACACAACATTGCTGATGTGCTTAGTTAGCCTCAATCATCAGAGGCAATAGGACTAAGGAATGTGTAACATTGTCTCTTTCTTTTAATTATATGAACTCAGCCTCGAAACATAACTGCATTCAGGTCAGTGTTAGATCATTTTGAGATCCGCCAGATCAGCCAATACTCGATACCAATTATGTTAGAGCCGCTACAAATACTTATAAAAGCGTTTTAAGTTATAAAACCTTAGTAAATATCCCTTCTCTGCCTTGTACAACTATCCTCTTTTAAATTTTTTTATTGTAAGTTAGCTCTGAAGTCTAGCATGAATGCTGAATGATGATTCTGGTTGGTTGATATACTCTTAAGTTTAGGAAAGGGGCGGGGTTTTGATGTATCGATGGATAGCCTCCATTTAAATTTTCCACATGGCTGAATACCTGGCTAATGTATGTATGTAATTTTTTTTTTGCCGTCTTTGAAACGCTTAAGCTTCTAATGGACAAGGATCTCAACAGAAAAAGCCCAAGCCAAAGCCAAAATCAAAGTCAAAGGTATGTCTTAAGATAATTATGATCCTGGTCTTCATACATTATTATGTATGGTTATCAATATTAAATCAACATTTTTCTCCTTTTTCAGGCTCAAAAGAGGCGCTCGAAAGATGAATCCACAAAGCTAAGTGAGCCAGCACAAGAGGTGACTAATACACCAACATCAGAGGCAGAAGCAATAGATCAAGCGGCCCGTTCAGTTAAAAATGCCGAGAAAGCTTCCAGCAGTTCTGTAGCTCAAACAAGCAATGAGCAGCAAGAAACTGTTGACAGTGCTTCAAGTGTATCACTACCGACAAATATGAATGAGCAAGTCAAGCATGAAGCTGACAGTGTTCAAATTCCTATAACTGTTACAGACCCTATAATACCACCTTCGGATGGTGCGCTCCTTAATGATAAGACTACAGATGTCCCTGCAGAGAGTACTTCTTCACCATCACCTGCCAAAGAAATGGAAGTTGTCAAAGAGCATGATCCCGTTGTTGCTGTTCCTGATACCACGACAAAGGAAAATGAGGGTTCTTCAAAGATTGAGCTAGAAAAATCAAGTAAAGATTCTCTTGTTATTAATGAAAAATCAGCCAAGGATGACGAGCTTAAGGTAGAATCTCCTATGCATCAACAGAAGCAAGTTGAGCATGACGTTGCTGCTTCACCCAGGAAAATTCAGGAGCAACTTGAGGAGGTAAACCTTTAAATACAGGGAATGAAATTTTGAACAGAAGTTAGGGCGCCACCTTTTGTCTCTGGTACTCATTAATTACTTTAGTTGGTGTGCAGGCTCAAGGACTACTCAAGACTGCAAATTCCACTGGTCAGTCAAAAGAAGCTAGACTAGCACGGGTAAGCTCCAGAATAAATGTTACATTCATTACCATCTTCAAGCTAGACATTTCAAGATTCACCAGTTACATGGGCAGATGTCTAAATATTTGCATCTGGGCCCATTAGTTCTAGTCCTATATGTTTTCAGTCATACAATGTTACCTAGTAAATTATCCAGACACAACTTGATGCTGAGCTGTTGAGGGATCAAGCTTACTGAGGAAACAAGGACAGGAGATCCGACTTTCTTGGATATTTCTTTTGTGTTTACTTATTCCCAACTTGATCTGCTTCTTGGTATAAGGAAAACCCAAACTGCGTTCTTTTTATTATTAATGGTTTCTTGTGACTGGCCAGTCATATACTCGGTTAAAGCTGGGTGAGGCTTCCTTATGACCTGTTGTTAACCATATGATATTCATACTTAGGTTTGTGCTGGGCTTTCAACCCGCCTTCAAGAGTACAAGTCTGAAAATGCACAACTCGAGGAGCTTTTGATTGCAGAGGTGAAATGTTACATCTACTTCGTTTTCCTGATGGATGTACTGGTTATGAGAGTGAAGTTTCAAGATTTAGTGCTTTGGAAGACTTCTCTTGACAGATATTTTTCTTTAACAGAGAGAACTAAGCAAGTCATGTGAGGCTCGTATGAAGCAGCTACAGCAAGACTTATCTGTGTCAAAAATGGAAGTAACAAGAGTAGAGTCAAACATGGCTGAGGCATTGGCAGCAAAGAATGCTGAAATTGAGGCGCTTCTTGGTTCTATGGATGCACTTAAGAAACAAGCTGCATTGTCAGAAGGAAGCTTGGCTTCTTTACAGGTTTGCTAGAAATATTTTTAAAGATGGCAACAGATTCTGTAAAATGATCATATATGCACATAGGAGTCACTTGAAACTATCAATTTTCAATGCTCTGTGAACTTCCTATGACATTGGTACAAACAAGGATTTTATGGTTGTGTGAATACTGGAGAAAGTCTTTTGCGAGTCAATGCATTTTTCAGCATAATCCCCTCACCACAAGAAGCATGTGGCTGTTTCTCCTTTCTTGTTTCTTTTCTTTCATATATATGTCACAGCTTTTGCGGAAGATCTTTAGAAATGATTTTCAACCCTTCTGTTACCGCTCAGGCAAACATGGAGTCTCTTATGCGAAATAGGGAACTGACAGAGACAAGGATGATGCAGGTTAGCTGGTGCATATAACAGTTGGCATATTTGTTCCATCTAATTAATGTTATTTTCCCCCAACTTTAACCCTTAATACTCAAAAGTATTTTCATTAGTCTTTATTAATGAAATATTTCTTTCATCTCACTAACTACTTTTCCTTACCACGGAAAAGCTATCTCTCCCCCACGTGACTCTACTTTCGCTAGCACCCTACCAAACACTTTTCCTTCTTATGCTAAAACTTAAAATTTAAGAAGAGACTGAACAAATACGACAAATAACCTGTCATAGTTCATAGCATAGCCATGTGTGTTCTTTCTCATAATGAAATTTGGAGCCTAATTAGTGCGCTTATACCAGGCTTTGCGAGAAGAGTTAGCCTCTGCAGAACGGAGAGCAGAAGAAGAGCGGGTGGCACACAACACTACTAAAAAGGTTTGGCTCTAATAGGGTTGTCATCTTTAGGACCCATGGAATTTGAAGTTGTTGCTGTTTGATAATTGTCTTATTCTTGATATAGGCAGCTATGGAGAGGGAAGTGGATCTAGAAAACAGAGCTGTGGAGGCTTCCACAGCTCTTGCTAGGACTCAGGTAGTATCCCAGAGGTCATTCATTGATGCATAACTAGGCTGTTAGTGTTGTGTTTGGAATGGCTGGTCTATATCCTTGCAAGACTGGCTGATGTTAAATAACTTCAATCCCTTCTGTAATAGTTTCAAATTATGTTCTCTTCCAGAGACTTGCAGATGAAAGGACATCAAAGGCCTCAGAACTTGAGCAGAAAGTTGCACTGCTTGAGGTATTTATACACCTTAATTTGGTCATTTTTCTGCTGTCTGATCAGAGAGTGCTAACTTACTGCTGCGTCTCAATCAGGTTGAATGTGCAACATTAAATCAAGAGTTGCAAGATATGGAGGCCCGTGTTCGGCGAGGCCAAAAGAAGGCCCCTGAAGAGTTAAACCAGTCAATTCAGGTACCTTAGAACTATCCCTCAGGATCCTATTATTTATCTCGATCAACAGCTTTTCCGCAAAACTCTGGTGTAATGAAACAACCCTTTGGATGAATCTGGTTGACATATTTTGTACTTGTATCATTTTTTAATAAACTGTGCATTACTGTGATTGTTATGATACTTTTAATATTTCCTAAAATCCTCCCTCTTGATGTTCAAACTATCGAGTATTTGTAAGGTTTGCTAGGGTTTGTCCCCTTCAATTTGATTGATGATGCACTGGAACTCTGCTGTAACTGCAACCTGAACCCCAATACCATCGTTCAAAATGTTAAGATGCAGGCATGGCAGGAAGAAGTAGAACGAGCACGCCAGGGTCAGAGAGAGGCTGAAAACAAGCTTTCTTCTGTTGAGGTAAGAGCTATGTGCATTCCCCTGTCAAAATTCTAGTTATGTTATTTGGAAGGGCTATTGAAATGTGAAACTGGATCATTCCTTTCATTTCTAATTTGTTTAAGATTTACAAGTCAAAGTTAAGCATTTGTTTCTAGATACCAACCCTTTTCCCGATTACAGGCTGAATTGCAGAAACTGAGAGTTGAAATGGCAGCCATGAAAAGGGATGCTGAACACTATTCACGCCAGGTAGTCTGATGTTTGCAAGTAAACATCATCCAGTTCTCTAATTTCAAGCCAGCTTACCTTTTTCCTATCAAGAGAGTGAGAGAGAGACATCGCTGTCTAGATTTGAATATGCTTTATTAGGAAGGCTAGGCAGTCAGTTAGGTTTGGTCATGTTAGGGGTCTGAAGTTTTTCTTTGTGTTTTGTTCCCTCTGAAGAATAACTCGCTACTTCTCATATTTTGTGTGAAAAAATAAGTACCCTTTAACATTGTCAGAGCATATCCCCTGAAAATGCAACCTTCCAATGCTTTGCATCAGCAGGAATCTGAGGAATCCGGTTCACAGTAACCTTGTGCTCGATTAAGACAATATTACCTGTTTAAGTGGTATTTTATGCATTTTATTTCATAAATTATCAATTCACTGGTTGAGCTGCTTTCAACAGGAGCATATGGAGCTTGAGAAACGATATCGGGAACTAACTGATTTACTGGTAATAAAAAATCTGTAATTCATGTCTATTAACCCTGATGAAGCACCAAAGTAAAAAAATCTGGAAATGCTTTCTTGATGCAGTATTACAAGCAAACACAACTAGAAACAATGGCTAGTGACAAGGCAGCAGCAGAGTTTCAATTAGAGAAGGAATTGAAGCGTATTCAGGAAGTGCAGGTTTCTTCTGAAGGATTGTAACTCGTTTACAGGAATCATGTTCACTTGAATCTGCTGTAATTTTTTTGTCCTGATGAAACATCTACCCCCTGCCATGCAGGTTGAGGCTGAAAGAGGCAGAATTGCCCGCCGCCCATCTCCATCATGGGAAGAGGATTCCGAAATGAAAGCACTCGAGTATGTCCTTTCTTTTTCTGAACTAATAAAACACTTTCTGGATCCTGGCATCAGAACAAACCTATCCGGACTCAGAAACTATAGCAACCTAGTACCATCTCGACATTTTTTATTCTAGCTCATGCGGGAACTTTTTGAGGGTGCTCTTAGATTTTCTTTAAAACGCTTCATACAATGCTTGCTATGACTGTCTGTATGCTAAAGCAAACGTTTTACCAACTTGGCTTGTCTGTGTTACAAGCAATTAGGTCTTCGATTGTGACCTTGTACCTGTGTTGTCTATTTCTTCCAATTTAGAATTTCAAGCAAGTTGTTTTGAATACATTTTGAAGCTTTCTCGTGGCTTGAAAAATTGCAGGCCTCTCCCAGTGTACCACCGCCATTTGGTGGGCGCAAGCGTACAGGTATACAACTCTTCCACTCTTTTTTTTTCTCAGTAGCGTCCCAATCCCTTGTTTTGGATTTTTTAAACACCGTGGTTGCAAACCTGCATGTTCTGCAGTTGCAGAAGGCAGCAAAGATATTGGACTCAGGAGCTGCCAGAGCCACGCGATTCTTGTGGCGGTACCCAACAGCTCGGCTGATCTTTTTATTCTATCTGGTAAGAATAGGCCAGTGTTGCAATCGCCCTGTTTCCAGACTCTTTTAAGGGTTGAGAAAATCATGTAATGACCCATAACAGTAACACACACATTGTGCTGCGCAGGTGTTCGTACATTTCTTCATGATGTATTTATTGCATCGCCTTCAGGTATCAACGTTGTGCTTTTTCACTCCCTTACTGATTTTCCATCGCTGTACTCGTCGCCATTTGTTAACCGTGTGTCCCTCGCAATGCAACAGGCGCAAGCTGACGATCTCTCAGCTAGAGAAGTCGCGGAGTCGATGGGCCTTACCGACCCCAACTTGCAGCTACATGCCCGGCGCTGACCACCACCCACTGCTGTGGGCATGCCTGTGTATTGTGCCTCTGTATATCGTCCCAACAGGAAAAGAAAATGGCCTGAAAAAGAGCATTAGGGTGATAGAGAAGTAACCAACCACATCGGATGAGTGATGAGAGTACAAGAGTAGGGTTGCCATTTTTCAGGCATATTTGCAGCAAAGCTGAAGCTTTGTTGTGGAATGGGCGACTTTCCATTTATTTCTTCTCGAACCATTTTCCTACCTTTCTACCCCCTTGGTTGTGAAATCTAATTAGAGGTTTTGCTGGGGGCAATACTGAGTACAGACTTGTTTTTTTGTGTACATGATGAGCTAGAAATATATAGATGTAATTGTACATCAAACATGCTGACAAAAGAGGGGGGAAATTGAAGAACAAATACAGATAAAATTTCATTTTATTAGAATCAAGCAAGTTTTAAGGAAATCCATTTGCGATTGTTAGCGTACATAGAGATAAAATACATAGCTTTTATCATACACAATTCATATATTCTTTTCATGATTTTAAATAAACTATCACTCAAATTGTTTCATCGAATAATTTTAACTTTTAAGTGAGATGGTTGAACTCAATTTTTAATTAACAATTTAAACCTTTTATTTGGAAATGATGTGTTTATTAAAAAAGTGTGGAGCGAGACCTTTTTTTTTTTTTTTTTGAATAAAGCTTTCATTCATTCATCCCGAAAGAGGCGAGGAATTACAACAGAGTGGCTACAATGGATAGAACAGATATCCAGTCCTGTGGAAGGGAAAGACAACGCGCATTGTGCGCAACCCAATCGGCACATTTGTTGAAACGACGATGGGTGAAAGAAAGATGAATCCAGTGACATTGCCGAAGTATGGTCCTAATGTGAGAAAGAAGACCAAAACATCGCCAAGGCCACATGGACTCATCACCACCCAAAGCATCCACCAAAGATTTACAATCCGTGAAAATAACAGTAGGGGTGCTGTCAGAAGCAGCAATACGACACGCTTCCACGAGGGCAAGAGCCTCAACCTCAATCGGAGAAGAACAGATGACTTTTCCAGCCTTCCCATCACAAATCTGACCTTGGGAATCAGTAATAACTATCCCAAAAGCCGCCTCTTGTGATCCGTGGTCAAAAGACCCATCACAGTTAATCCGTTTCGCAGGATCTCTCGGCGGTGGAGAAGATTGTGGTGGAATGCCCCTAGGCTGGAGATTAGGGCGACGAGATGGATGAGCAGGGAAAGGCTCAGACGCCTCTCGAAAGGCAAAAATTGAGGTCATCATTGGGGACATAGTGATACCTCTGAAAATGAACTCGTTCCGAGCCTTCCAAATATTCCATAGGCAAAAAGCCTTGAACCGAAGAGAAGAAGGGTCCTCCTCACTCTTCATCGCGAAGAACCAATGGTTGAAGTTTTGTGGTGGAACCATGGAAGGAAAAGCTCTTGTCCAAGTCTCCCTAGCGTGAGGGCAAAGGAACAAACAATGGATCAGAGATTCTTGCTCGGCATTGCAGATTTGGCATCGAGGATTGGGGGAGCAATGGCGGTGATGGAGGTTGGTTTTGGTAGCTAAAGCATTCCGTAAGCACCTCCAGAGGAAGAATCTGATCTTGGGAGGAAGCTCAAGTGCGCAGAGCCATTTCCAAATGTCATCTGATGAAGGATTATTGAGATCATGAGGAGGTTGGTGAGCAATCTGCCTAATATGATTCCTCAGCCCATGATAGGCGGATCTCACCGAAAAGCTTCCGTTAGGAGTAAATTTCCATGCCCACTTGTCCTTGGAATCCGGTGGACCAACATGAATCTTTGCAATAGCTTCAGAATCAGAAGGTGAGCAGTGGTTATGAATCAAATTCCAATTCCATTTCCGGGAATCCTCCTCCAACCAATCACATACTCTAGAGTGAGGAACATGTGGGGCTGAAATCACATGATTTTCCAATGATGGAATCCACAGATCTTTCTCGAACCAAGTATCGGTCCCTGAACCAATGACCCGGATGGTCCCCAAATCCAAAGCCTTCCTCGCATCGCAAAGACTAGCCCAAATCCACGAGGGAGCACTTCCCTTCTTTGCCGATCTGAAATCAGAGTTAGGATAATAAAGACCACGCAGGAGGCGAGCCCATAGGGCATCTGGTTCATTAATAAGGCGCCAACCCTGTTTTGCAAGCAACGAGAGATTAAAGATGCGAAAATCTCTAAAGCCAAGGCCTCCAATCGACTTGGGATCATTGAGAACTTCCCCTTTCCGCCAAGGAATTGACCGTTTCTTCATGGATCCTGACCAAAAGAAATTTCGAAGAAGAGCATCCATCTTCTTTATCAAAGAGACTGGAAGACGGAAGACACTCATAATGAAAGTCGGGATGGCCTGAATCACAGCCTTCAAAAGGGTCTCCTTCCCGGCATGGGATAAAGTCAAGCTTTTCCAGGACAGCCCAATCTTCTCCATCCTCTCAATAAGGAACCGAAATGTCTCCTTCTTCGACCGTCCCCAATCAGTCGGCACCCCCAGATACTTATCATGAAGAATGTCCATCGGGAAACCGAGTCGTGAAGTAATTTGGTGCCTAAGATCTTCCGGTGTATTCTTACTGAAGAAAACAGAAGACTTTTCCATATTAACTTCTTGTCCCGTAAGAAAGCTGTAATCATTAATGATATGCATAATGGCCTCTGCTTCTCCCACTGATGCACGCCCGAAGATAACAGTATCATCTGCGAAGAGGCAATGAGACAGGAGGGGACATTGATGTTTCATCCTAAGACCATTAATCGTCCCCTGAGAGATACCTCGTTCCAACAGAAAGGACAAGGCATTTGACATAAGTATGAAAAGAAAGGGAGCGAGACAAAACATAATATTCAGTTCGCCTATTTATCCTTTAGGGGCCTCCACTAAGATCCCCATTAAATGCCTCCGGGAACACCATACCGCCTTTAATAGAGGTCAAAACATCAAAGCCCAGAAAATTTTGATAGAACCCAGCATTCTCCATTAACTAGAAAAGTTATATACATATATGTCTACAGAATTAATACAGTATTTTTTGTAACTAGCTTGGTGCCCGGCCTTTGGCCGGGTGTGAAATGTGCAAGGAATTTGTTTGTGATTGTGTTATTTGTATAATTTGTTTACTTGTCTTGCGTTGCATGTGCTACAAATTTTTTCAAATACATTAAAAGGAATCTTTGTTTGTGACTGGCAAGTGTATTTTACACCAAAATAAAACAACCAAATATATATTCATAAAACAACCAAATATTATTCACATTGTTTGGGTACTGATGATTCATTACGTTACACCATCAGAACTTATTTATAACTACATACACTTAGCTGAAAGCTATTGTTCTAGTTTCCGCGAAGAATTGGCTTGCGTGAGTAGTAGGTGAGGCTGGAAAAAGGTTATGTTGAAGTTTTTGAGTTGCATCCTGTAAGGGAATCATAGATACTACCAAGAGGTACATATGCCTTCAATCGACACAGATCTGCAAAATGACATAAGGTTGAACATGGTAAATTTCTTAACGCCAAGCAAGGATGAACATGGTTCCACTATGTTGGCATTTGAATCAAAATTGTGCTTTCTACTAAACTCCAGGACTTATTGTTTGGGATCTTATGTAAAATGGTGGTGTCAGAGATATCAGTAGCATGTTTAGCTATGAAGCATCAATACACCATTGTTATGGTGAGTATTAGAGTAATTAGGTTACCTAGGGTGTCACGTGGATGAAATGAAGATTGAAATCCATGGTAGCAATATAATGAAACACAGTTGGAAGCTTTGTCACAGCCAACTCAGATACTCTCAAAGCATTGAATGAACTACATTTAAGATGAAAAGCTTCTGAATATGATAAAACCTAACCTGAAAACTGAGGGAGTAAGAACTGTAACCTTATGTCGAACACTGGCCCGTGTAGTTGCAGTAATCGGAGACAAAAAAGAGCATAAAAAGATAGAAAAAATAAGCAGCAAAATGAGGGGAAAGGAAGAAAGAGAGCAAAAGTTACTACTTTAAGAGATATGGCTAAAAATAAGAGCAGGGGGAAAAAGACCCTACTACTGCAAAGGAAAGTATAGCAAGGTTGGATAATGAGGACAGTTTGATCCGACAATAATTAGAAAAGTTTGTTAAATCTGAGGTCGGCTCTATTTGCCCTAGGGGTGGGCATACGGTTCGGTAAAACCGAACCTAACCGAACCGAATTCAAACCGAACCGAAACCGAATAACATTAATTCGGTTCGGAATTCGGAAGAGTAAATGGTATATTTCGGAAATCAAGGTCCTTTCGACCGAACCGAATTTCCGAATTCCGAACCGATTTTCCGAATTACTATAATTGCAAGTTCCAAATGGTGGATTTTTATGTTTGTACTTATTATGAGACTTAAATATTTGAATTATGTTAGTGTTTTATGACTTATGTGTTGAAATGTTTGATTTTATCATTGATGATGCATTTAATTGCATATTTATTGTTTACATTATGGGTGAAAAATAATTTAAAATAGAAAAAATACAAGCTAACCTCACAAGTTCGGTTTTTCATACAAAACCGAACCGAATTATAATTCGGTTTGAACCGACCGAACCGAATTATAATTCGGTTCGAATTCGGTTTGAAGTTTGATGGAACTCGGAAACCCGGTATACATTATTTTGGTTCGGTTTGAACCGAACCGACCGAATGCCCACCCCTAATTTGCCCGACCCAATCTAAGCAGGCAACATGATGGATGCTGCAGAGGTACAATGAAGAAAGAAACTACTCAATAATCCCAATTTGAAACCTGAGAAAACATATTCAATCGAACATAATATAATATAAAGAGGAATAGGCAAGTATCTAAGTGAATTCAAATACCATAATGAAAGATCACAATACTGGTTATGATTTTCGTGCATGGATCCCACATGGTACTCTGCACAAAGGGTGGCTACATTTAAATCCAATATTAGAGCAACATCATAAACGAAGAAAACAAATCATGAGAAACGCAAAAGAGTTGAGAGGAAATTGCATAAAGATATTTAGGAAGGCAAGAAAGACGTACTATCTGGGATTGAAAGGCGGCCTTTTTTTCATGGGTGAAAGGCGGCCTTCATGTGGTTGGTAAATGCGAATCATCTGTGGAATTTTGCTTAGCGGGCAGGAATTGACAGGGTAATAAGGGGCGAAGCGACGGTGACCACATCTTAGTAGTAAGAGCAGTCGATTCCCCAATGAAATATGACTGGCACCCCAGAATTGACGTTGAACTTGGATAAATTGATGGAAGAGAATTGTGTCTGATTGGAGTAGTGGAATCTCCGCTAGAAGTGAAACAACTAAGCAAAATCGCCAGTGAAATTGGGGCTAATAGATGGTTCCGGCCTCTGTTTGCAGAGAGAAGTCGAATCCCCGTCAGAAAGACAATGTAATATGAAAAGGCTCCAACACCGAAAGATATAACTGGAGAGTAGTGAACGAAAGATGTTTGCATATCTGGGAATGAAAATCTCGCTGGACGAATGAGAGGAATAAAGATTTGGGGAGGGGTGTCGTCGTAACGCTGGTTGGTGTGTGTGCGCTATCAAAAGCCTGGTGCGCTGGCAAAAAGTCTATTGTGGATTATGTTATTGGTGTGTGCGATGAGAATACTGAAGGGGATGGAAGTTACTGCAGATTTGGGGGGAAGGAGGCCATTGGCTTCAACAGAGACGAACGGAGACGACGATTCCGAAAGAAAGAGGCGCTATCCAAAAGAGTTTTAATATTTTTGAAGAAAAAAGAAAAATGAAAAAATCACCTACGAAGTTTGCGGGGAAGCTTTCCCAGAGAAAGCGCTTTATATTATTTAGTGATGAAGTGATGATTTAGGGGTTGTTTGGAGGATGTGATTCTCACAATTGATACATTTCTTCAATTGATGTATTAGAAGTAGATGTATTGGATCAATATATGAATTTGAGAAATACTTTGTTTGGAATATGGGATTGCACTTTTTTGTATAGAAAAAAATAAAATACTTTTAAGCACATAAAGTCACAATTGCCCTTCACTTTATATGGCTTCTTTCTTCTCTTCATTTGTTTCACTTTCAGTGGGCAAACCAGAAGCCCCTACAGTGAGAAGAAAAGAGAAGTTCTTTCTTTGCGAGAGAAGAACAACAATTGAAGGGAGCACATTTTCACCATCGAGAATCCAGACTTATGCAGCAAATGCGCTCCTCGCGTCAAAGCCGACAACATCCAGGCGAGAATGAGGAAGAGATTTCTGTCAAATGTCTGTGTGGATCTATTGCAGTCCTCAGAACATCTCATACGCCTGGTAATCCGAATCGGAAGTTCTTCGGCTGCCCTAAATGGAATCCCAAGCAGGTAATTTCCTGGGTTGATTAGATTTGTGGTTCCAGATTCGTTGTGCTTCACTTGGTTTCGACTATGGCTTGCTTAGCTAATTGGTCCTTTCACGTTTGAAGCCGGAGAGCGCTTGTCGATTTTTTGTATGGCACGATATACAGGTGGCAATTGAGAAGGAGAAACATAAGTATGAAGTCTTAATTAATGGGTTGAAGATGGATAATGCACGTTTGAGGGAAGAGAACGAGGTCCTCAAGGAACGGACAACTGAACTGCAAGAATCAATTCTTTCTCAAATGATGGTGGGAAGGTTGCAACTGGAAAATATAGATTGCCCAGAACAAGATGTTTCCACAGCGATGAAAGAGCAACTCGATAGGATTAGAGCTAGGCTGAGTTTTCTAGAGTCCATTGTGTTAGGACCTAATGCTTCAGAGTAATTCATGTGAACTTTGGGCTTATGTATTTTGAATTATCATTATGGTTATGTTGTTGTCTTTTGTAATGCAAGTAATGAGATGTACTAAATGAAGTTTGTTATTGAAATGCAATTGTTACTGATGTAAAAAACCAGCATCTAGACACAGATGTCAAAAAACCAGCAACAAAATGAAGCTTGTTGTGAAAAACCAGTAACAACAACAACATATAGCATAACAACAACATGGTTGTGAAAAACCAGTAACAACATATATTAGTAAGAACTTATAGCATAACATAAGTCAGTACACATTTGCATAACAGAACTAGGATAACAAGCCATTATATCCCATGGCTACAAAATATGGAGTGGAGATTCAAAATATGCAGTGCTCCCACTCTCAACTTAGACATTCATAATCCGACCATACACCTCTAAACATCTTAGATAGGCTAGCTATATTAGTTGATGAGACCAAGTAGAAAGTGAAGCTTTTTTTCATCTGTGGGCAGTTGGTAGTAGAGCTGGGCAATCCTATCGTCCTTGACAAGGATCATAGCAGCTGAAAGCACTTGATCCTGTGTCAAACCTTCAACATTAGACAGCTCCTCAAACAGACTTCCTCTCCTAATCATCAATGGATCTTCATGGCAAAAGCTATTCGCCATCCTCTCAATGTTCGTGCTAGCCTTCTCCATTAGAGGACGCATTTTCTCGATCTCAGCAGCCACAACATGACTCGTAGAACTTTTATCGGTCTTTGACCTCTTGTTACCTCCAGCTACATTAGTTGTCTTACTACGACCTGTTTCTGGTTCATCAAGCAACTCTCTATGGTTAACACCTTCATTTATCATCTCCTCTAAGACACGTTGACAAGTTTCATCATCATACATCATGGGTTCCTCAGTGAAAGCTCTTCTAACACGACCCTCTACTTCCATATCAGCTGCAGAACCTGCTTGACTTCCCACTGCTCTATCCTTACCAAAGATTCTGCTAAGCTGGTCGAAATAGACAAAGGCCTTGCTGTTGAGTCCAGAAAACGCTGGATGGGTCTGCATCCAGTTACCAAACCCAGCAAATCAGCAAAAAAAGTCAAAAATTGTAAACCAGCATTTATAACTAGTGGGGAAATCTAGCAAGTATAAGAAAGAACAGCAGAGTGATTATAAGACCAAAAAATACCTTAACCCAATCCTTGAAAACATCATCATCAGCAACAATCATCTTTTTCGACTCATCCCAACCAAACCCACTACAACTTCCATTTTGGACATCATATATGGCGTTGTACTTGTTCTTGAACCAGCGATGTCGTGACCTGACATTCAGATTGAAACCCGGAATCCTCTTCCTCATCATAACCTCCAGCTTCTTGAATCCCCCGTTCTTCAGGTTTCCTGACTCCACCTCCCTAGACTGAACCAAGTCCAGTAGGCAGTCGATGAACACTACATCATGAGTCTCTGACCAGGACTTGTACTCCCTTAGCCTCTGTTGTCCAGCATCATTAACCTCACCATTAACCTCACCATTAACCTCGTCATTAACATCCTGGTTAGCTGCCATACCTTAGATGTTCAATATGGTTAGCACCAAGACCTGCAGAATGGAACAAAGCGTAAACTAGTAGTAGGGGAAAACAAAGCTTCTAGTAAAGGTTCTATTTTCTCAAGGGAAGTATAGAACAATTTATAAAGGAACCTGCTACTGATGTAGTTTGGTGCTCATTTCTCTAAAGCATAAACCAGCATGAGTGGAACAAAGCATAAACAACAGGAGGAACAAAATCAATAACCGCTGGATGGGAAATGCAGAACTATTACTGAAGGTTCTGTTTTTGCAGAAGGAATAAAGCATAAACCAACAGTAGGGGAACAAAGCATAAACAACAGGAGGAACAAAAGCAATAACAGCAGAAGGGAAATGCAGAACTATTACTAAAGGTTCTGTTTTTGCAGAAGGAACAAAGCAAAAACAGCAGAAGGAACAAACCTTTTCTCTACTGGTATAACAAGCTTTGCAGTACCAGTTAAATAGAAGAAAAAATGCCACAACATTGATTTCGACCAACAACCAAACACCAACCCTGAACTACTAGTTCAAATACTTATGGCAACCTTTCGTAATAAATGATGACACAAGTCATTTGACAGACATAAGTACATAACCAATAAATTGAAAAGCACTATCATTCTGACATAATAACCATAAATTGGAGTACAGAAGAAGGAGTAATGGCATTAACCAAACAAAAGAGGGGAGTACAGCATCCCTATTGCCATCTACATAACAAAAGAGGGGAGTACATAACCCCTTATCAGTTACCAGCCCATGGCCTAGCATTCCACATATCTTGTGCCAATTTTTGTCTAAAATCTGACCACTCCATTGAAGGCTGGATATGAAGTATAAGCTCTTCATCCACATCTGGTTCATCGTCTTCATCTTCATCAACATACAACCTCTCGAACACATCAGCACCCACCTCTCCACGTATGAAGTTGTGCAACAGACAGCACGCATTGACTATTTTTGTAACCATCTTGGCAGAAAACCAAGTGGTATCTCTCAAAATTGCCCAGCGCATTTTCAGTATGCCAAATGCTCTTTCTACACTATTTCTTGCTGTTGAATGTCTCATATTAAATATTTCTTCAGGGGTTCTTGGTCGTCTCCCATCCCAATCTTTTAGGTGATAACGTTGACCTCGAAATGGCGACAAGAACCCCTCACAGTTGCTGTATCCAGCATCGCATAAGTAATAGAAACCTGCATTTCCAACAATAGGCATTAACAAAATTGATTTAGTCATGAATAATTTTCTACAAGTCAAACACTATAAATAAAGCAGACATACCTCTAGGAACCTTCAAACCATTTGGTCTAATAAGGGCGTCTCTCAAGACCCTCCCATCATGAGCAGACCCTTCCCAGCCCGCCAAGCAGTAAATGAATTCCATGTTCTGATCAACAACTCCCAGGACATTCATTCCAATCGTTCCCTTGCGAGTATGGTACCTTTCTTGATTCTCTTTTGTAGCACGTACCTCCACTATTGTACCATCAAGTGCGCCAAGACAATTCTATAAGAAAAGGAAAAAAAAACACAGAAAGTTTAAAAGTTTACAAAATTCAGAAACAAAATATGCACACATGTAATAGACCATATACCTTGAAGTACTTCCATTTGGGATCATCTGAATTCTCTAGAACAGGCTTCGGTTTCCGTAGTAAAACAGAATGCAGTTTCAAAACCGAATGTAGAACAGTTTTAATGACCCTACAAATCGTTTCCCCTGAACGACGAAAGGTAACTTGGAGCTGACGATTCTTTTCGTTATGGGCTATGGTGTAAAGGAAGATGGCAACCATCTCATCTATTTCAAGGTAACAACTACTCCTAAGACCTCCCACATCTCTAAGAAGATGACAAAGTTTCTGAAATGTCCTACAGTTCATCCTAACAAGCATAGTGCAAGATATATCACCGTGGGAAACGATACATCTCATGAACGAATTCCTAGCTAGCTGTCTAGCAATTGGTGTCTCCCAAGCAGTTCCCTGGTCTATGCTTTCCAAACGTTCAGATTCAACAGCTTCATAATATTGCATAACAAGTTTCATAAAATTGAACAGGAGCTCCAAGTACATAGAAACAGCGGCTATGATTGCCTTCTTCCTTTGTCTTGGGCACCTTGCCATGATCTACAGCTAGACAAAAAGGTTGTCAAACCAGGGAATAGAGATGGTACCCAACACGAGAAATAATAGATGGGTAGTGTTTAAAACTGGGGACATACCTGTTCGACTTCTCCTTCAATTCTCGGCGTCGAGTTCGGTTCCGACAAGTCTCCAGCGGCAAGAGTTAGGTCGGGCTATTGTCTAGGATTTTCAACGACGAGAGTTGGGTCTGGCTCCGTAGTGCTTGAAACCCTTTGATTTCGAGGATGGAGATTTTTTTTAGGGTTGTGCTATTGTCGAATGGAGGAGCAGGGGAGGAGTTCTCTGATATTTTTCTACTTCTCTAGGAATTACATGAGCAGATAAGTGGGAGGTGAGAGAGTGTTGTTGATGAGGGTAGTCATGGAATTATTGAAAATTATAAGGGACAATGATGGAACATAAAAATGGGCAAACAATCACTCATTCCTAATCTCAGCTTATAGTAGAGATTTGTAATCACTCATATTGAGTGATTGTAGGTGGGGCCATTTAAAGGTATTACATGTATTCTTCAACAAATTTAACCAAAAAAACGACTGAATCTACCCATTACATGTATTAGCTAAATCATTCACTTGTAATCCCATCCTCCAAACAACCCCTTAGTGATGAATGATACATCAACCAAAATACCCGGGGGCTTAGATATCCAATACAGTATATTATCCCAGCCCGTCTTTACATGGGCCAGCATATGCCCAGCCCGGTTAGCCTGTCGACGTCCAAAAGCCCAAAAGATTTGTCTTCCTCCTGCAGCCATCGATTCCCATTCATTCTTCGCGTGTAGAATCCCCTCGCAAAGTATTCCCCCAGCTCTGTGCGATCCACCTCCTCATTCTCCAGCTTTCTTAACAAAGTTTCACAGTCAATTTCTATCACCACGACCTTGCATGCATCTCGCAACTCTGATTCTGCACTTTCAGGTAATCATGAACCCAGCATGTAGCTCTTTGGATTGATCTTGTCCTCCTCCGTCTGATTGTTATTGAAGCAGTGGTTATTTCGCTCCTTCCATAAAAACCCTAAAAATTGCACTGGATCTCTGCAATTTGTCATCAGGGAATTCTTCAAAACAGTCTTCTTCTCTAGACTGCAGCCTCCAAATCCTGCTTCCCCAGCTGCACTCACGAGGGAGGGCTTGTTCAGGAGTCTCCAACAAAGGGGCAACCCGGTCCAGCTTTTTTTGGATTTACATACCTGCCGGCTTCCAACCAGGTAAAAGAAATTCTGGCTAATTCTCCATAGAAAGTGGTTAATTTTGGGTTGGAACTTGAACCGGGCAGAAACCCTCCCTGTTGGGGATCCATATGTCTTCCCAAACTCTAATTTGAGACCCTCCATCTTAAACCTTCCTGTAACAAATCTTTGGCTTCCATTAAGCTTCTCCACACAAAGCTTGCAATGTATCCTACTTTGGCTTGCAATGTATCCTATCTCTTCCTTTATATCTTAAAAAATCTTAAAGCATTTTTAGAATCCTACCCCCTCCACGTAAGCCTCCGTGAAACCCCACTCATCCACGTCATCACTTTAAAAGTCCTTCCTCCGCCAAATAGAATTTTCCTCCGCCTTCAATTTTTCCCACCCAATACAACGCAGGAGCCTCCCCAAATTCACAACTACTTCTCCTACTGGTCGTACGCATCGTCAACTCCTCCCGACATCCATCATTCAACCCTAATCGCCCGGCTTCCAATTTCCTGCCACTTAGTCCGCCTGCGCCCGTTCATTGGTATTTCTGATTCCGGCCACCACCCCAGTGACTGCGGCCTTATCCAAACGGGAGACCGCCAATTCCGTCCGACTTCGTGCACTCCCAGTAGATGTAGAGTCATTTTTCTTTTACGCCTGTCAATAGGTTTCTGTCAAAGCGGCCAAGCATCATGTCCCGCCATGGATTCGGAATCGACCGGCTTCGTACAACCCCAACAAATGTTCAACATTCATCTTCTTTTCCTGCCCGTTAATTGCTTTCCGTGAGCGCGGCTGTCGCCAATTGCCCCGTTCCAAGTTCCCCCGTTGGACGTTATTCTATTGCCGCAGGTAATTCTACATTTACTGCTAACCGCCATTCACATTGTTATTCCACTCGATCTTGATCTGTCTTCAATGCTCCTTCAATTATAATTTTCGGTGCTATGGCCATCGACAGTGTGTATCAGACTTCCGCCTATTCTGCGGCACAACTGCATTCAGACTCCACCGTCTATTATTCGCCAGCGCTTTCGTCCTAGGTTTTTCTCCCCTGGGTTCTTCAACGAGGCTACTAATCATAGGAGTAACACCCCATCCACCGTGTGTATCCGTTTTCCCTGGTTTGGACTGCAATATTACTCAGCCCTGTCCCTGCAACTTCAGGTATGAAGAATTGTTACCACACCTCTTTGACCAATAATTTATAATTTGTTGCACATGTTTTTCGCCCCTGAAGGCCGCCTACAATCTATTGTTCAGCATGAGTTTCCAAAACAGAAGAATTGGGCGAACCAGATGCAACCTTTCTGTTTGGTTTATAGAAAAAAGTAACAGCACCCACTTGAATGCATTAATCTACTGGTGATGGAGAGGGGGACTATCCTGCCTTATTTTCCATGTTTGGTTTCTGACAGCAATGCATAAGAGTACCAACTGAGTTTTGATTACCAATTCACAGGATATTTGCAGCGGCCACCAAGCTTGCATATCTTGCGGTATTTGGTTTTCATGTTCTGACTTCCTCTTCTCTGCAGTTTGGTTTCAATTTTGAAGATCTTTGTTTTTTCCTATATTTGATTTGATGAAGAAGAAGGGGAGAGGGAGAGAGTAAGAGAGGGATCGAGGGATACGGAAAAGCAGAGGGTCGGCCGGAGATCGATGGGAATTGTCGTTGGCACAATTGAATCTGGATTTAGTGGACGTCGCTTGAGATGGATTTGTAATCTTGGGGTCGAAGAAGCAGCAGCGGCCTCAATTGAATTTGTTCTGTTTGCGGCTGTTTAATGATTTGGTCAAAGAAAAAAAAGGAGAACAGTGCTTGGACGGGATTTGGTCTTGGTCCGTCGGTGATAGGCTGTAGCGAAGTCACTAGCGTGGTGATTTAGCTTTGTAAATGTTGTAGACATAATGTATAGAATATTGAAATAGGCCACCAAACTTGCCTGTGTTGCTTTGGGATCCTTCCATTCCATACAATGCTCCCGCCAAGTTCGTTCCATGTCCCAACTGGAATCAAGTTCATTTTTCCTTTTTCACCTTAATGGAACTTTACGTTCTATTACTTTTATTTCTTCAATTTATCAGCAAAGTAGTAACCATATTAGCCAATGTCTGTTTGTAGGTTGGAGGGGTCTTTAAGGATATCTATCTCTGTCCTTACAATGGATCGCAAAGGAAAGAGAGCACTGGTCTCCGACCAACCTGCCCAGCAAAAGAAAACAAGATTTGCAGCTGTAACCCTTGCAGGAGGTACGGTACACAATCAACCACGACCAGGTTTTGGTTCTTATGTTGGTTTAGCTTTCATTATCTTCCCACGTTGGCTCCTCGAGCAGGGAGTTTCTTCCCCTAACCACTATATTTGACCGCTTTATAACAGAGAACCCCCCAGCTTCAACATCTGCTACTTCAAGGCACTCTTCCACAAAGGACTTCCTCAGAACTTGGCAGGTTATCTTCACCAGGTAGTAATTTAACAAAACAATGGAAGTATGGAACAACATCAAGATTTTATGAATTCAGACAAAAATTGGAGTTAAAATGCTGTTCGATCCTACAGGTCATGCTGACATCTTCTCAACGTTGAAAGCTTCATTGTCCAAAATTATGAGGGAAAGACGACGCTTATACTTGATGTTCAAATGAAAACCACACATACGAATGTTCCTAATGACACGTAGATACGGCGCTTATTCCTTCTTTTTGATGATATCAGCTGTAACTAATATTCTGAACAGCAATCTAACACAAGTTTCAACTAACTCATCATCCACCATTTAGCACACTGGACCAAATACACTTCCTGCGGGCCAATCACACAAAAACCCGCAGCACACCCGGCCAAAGGCCGGGCACTAAGCTAGTATGTACTTTGTGGTTTCATTATGGGAAATAAGAAGAATATTAAGAAAAGTCTCCCAACCCTATTCTCTCTATCCTCTCAATTCTCGTTCTCGATCCCTCCAAGGCCTAGGCCGATTCCCTATCTTTCTCTTCTTCTTTCCCAAATTCCAATCTCAAATCCCTAATTCTGTTCGTATAAACCCTAATCCCCAAATATCAAACCGATAGGAACCTTGTTCCTATAAGGTTAGCTCTGATTTTGTTAAATTAATCTGCTGCCCGGATTCTTCCTCATAGACTTTCAATATTTCCTTGAGTTTCACACTCTCTTCCCTTGATGATCGGGCAAAAACAATGCTATCATCCGCAAAGTGGAGGCGTGATAATTGCGGTGCTCTCTTGCTAATCTTGATCCCATGTATCTTCCTGGTTACCTCTGCTGACTTAAGTAGAGCAGAAAAATCTTCTGTACATAGTAGAAACAAGTATGGTGAGTTGGTGACAAAGGGTCTCCCTGTCGGAGTCCCCTAGATGGAGCAAGTTCGCAAGTTCTGTGTCCATTCACCATTACACAATAAGATACAGTAGGTATACACATCATGATCAGCTCTATCCACCTCTCTTCAAACCCCATCTTCCGAGTCACTTTCTCAAGGAAACCCCATTCCACCTTGTCATAAGCTTTGGCCATATCTAGCTTAGCTGCAAAAAAACCTCTTTTGACATTGCCACATCTTGTCATATGAACATTCAAACGCCATTTTGATGTTATCCGTTATCATCCGCCCCGGCACGAATGCACTCTGTGTTTCTGAAATAAGCTTTGGCAGCTTTCTTGATTGGCTTTAATTGCGTGAAAAAAATGTCTGGTTCTTCCCTGAGGAAATTATCAGTATTCAGTGGTTCTTGCTTTGCATGATTGCTTTACTTTCTTCTGGTGGTTGCAACTTGAGAGTTCTCGAGTTATTGTTTATGAACACACTTACACTGGTTTGTTAGTGGTGGGAAATCTTATGTGCAACTTGAGTAGTCATTACAGTTGAATTCAGCTTACTTATCGGGTTTTCACTAGTAGATTGCAAGTGAACATCATCTGTATTGAGAATCAATGCGTTGAATAGGGCATTGCCTCTGTGGCTGCATAAGGCAGGTTAGGAACGCTGAAAGATTGTAATCGACAAAGGGGAATCAATTTGTTGATTGGTGATTGGATTGCTAAAAGGTGTATGGAATCTGTCACGCCCTGGGGAGGAAGAAGAGTCTTGGCGAAGATGATTTTCTGGAGAAGGTCTGGAAATGGAGGAAGAACAGAAAAGAAGGGGAAGAAGGGAGAAGACAGAGCAGAGGAGAAGAAGTAGAGATAGGGGAATTCTTATTCTGTTATTCGATAACTCTCCATTACAGCAGACCCTTTCTTTTATATGGCTTCCTAATTACAAACTAATCCCCAAACTATATCTTGTTTACCCTTTGATCCCATTCGTTACAATCCCCACTCCTTAAAATCAGGCTTGTCCTCAAGCCTGTTGAGAACAACAAGAAAGTAGCAGCTAAGAATCAATCCTACAATGTAAAAACATTCAAGAAACAGGGATGAACTCATTTGCAGAAGCTTGCAAAACCACTCCAAAAATAGACTAGTGTTGTGGTTGAAATTATGCAGGCAGCAGCAGCAACTAACCCCCAATTGGGCACAATAAGCCCCCTTGTAATAGCGACCATACCTTGGACCACAAACAACTTATGCAGCATATGCATTTCTGTACACCACAACAACCAGTATTGGAAAGAATCCCAACCAAACCAATCTTCAACATGTCCCTCCTCGAAAGAAGAATCCTTGTAAGGCTCCTTGAATCCAGGACAATTACCTCTTCCAAGAGAAAGAACCTGCACAAAGAACGCATATGCAAGTTCATACTGCAACTGAAATTGAGACACCATTGGAAGATAATTGGCAATAGCAGCATCCATAGCAATGCTTAACCATTCAGGAGATGTAATGGAAGCATCAAACAATTCCATCTTCACAACACTCAGTACCTCTGCTACAGGCGAAAGATCACAACCACTAAACATGACCCAAGCCTCCTTGTATGGTTCTTTGAACCCAGGTCCATTGCTTCGTCCATGAAAACGAACAGCATTGGCCACCAAAATCTCCTTGTATGGTTCCTTGAAGTTGAAACAAACCTCTCTTAGTTTAAGTTTCACTCGACAATAACCATGACTTCCCACCAAGGTCAAACTGTCAGTTTCGAAGGAAAAAACACCATTATGATCATTGTGAGGGCAGGAGCAAGTTGTCCATCCAAGTTGCAGAGCCCCAAAAGTTCTTAGAACAGCTTCATACATCCATTTCCCTTGCCAAACTCGCACACTATCCCTCCTATTGCAGATCACTGTTAAGCTCTCAACAAGCAGGGGCAACTTAATGATTTTGAATGCACCACAAATGTTTAATTCTCCAAGCCCAACAGCTTGAGATCCATAAATTCCATCCAAGTCACTATTCAAAGTAGAAGGAATTTGATTCAAAGTAGACATGTCCCTCTTCATCAAAGCACAAACTAGCTCCTTGTCTACGAGACTAGGAATCATACCAAGCGATCGGTGAGGGAAACCAAAATTATACTCAAGAGCTCTTTCTGCTGTCAAACCCTCAATTCTCTGGAACTTCCAATCAAGCACCTTATCATCCTCAAACCCCACTGAGTTTAGAGTAACAACATATTGCAATGCTTGCCTATCTCCACTATTCTTGCTATCCAAAAGATTTTCCGAGAAAGACACTGAATTTCCCACTCCAATAACCGCGCTGGCAGAAGCTGCTTGGTTCTCATTCTGGTCCACCAAACTTGATTGAGCTGAATTGACGGCCCTAGTCACCTGGGGAATATCAAGCTGACCCTGTAGTCTTGTATACTCAGGCTCCGCATTGTCCATTTCGCTGCTGTCACCTAAATCAGTCCCTTCATTATTTGATACTTCACAAGAACCCTCCATATCACTATCTGCAAGATACAACTCTGCAGAATACAACTCGTCCGGTTCTGCCTTCACCAAACCCTGGAGTGGTGCAGCAAAATCCACTCCTGTGTCCTTGGACTGTAATTGTTGCTTCCTGTTGCTAGCCTTAATAACACCTTTTTTCAATAGAGCTAGATGGTATGCTTGAGTTAATGTTTGGGGCTGCAACTCTATAACAGCCTGCCCCAAATCCTCTTCCAGCCCGCTAATAAACCTCGAAATGAAATACTCTTCATCTAGAATACAAGTATATCGAACCAGCCGAGATCGTAGTTCTTCAAACTTTTCTTGGTACTCCAACAATGAACCTCTTTGCCTCAACTTGTTGAATTCAGCCAGTGTTCCACTACATGATCCATCAGCAAAACGTTTACATAGGGCAGCTACAAACTCACCCCAAACCAGCTCCTTACGGCCATATTTCCACCCCACAAACCAGGTTTCTGGACCGTGTTCAAAGTACCTTGCCGCCAGCAAAACTCGATGTTCATTCGGAGGGCTATACTTCTCGAACACCCTTTCACACGTACTAACCCATTCGCGTGGATTATTACCGGAGAAGAGAGGAATACCTGAGACGAATTTCAGTGCGGCATTTTGGCGAACAGGTGGAGGAAGGCTTTCTGGGATATTCAATGCGTCACCATCAACTGGATGATCCTGTGGAAGAGGCAAAATGCCCTCAGCGCCAATTTGATCCTCCAGCGGCGCCACCGCGCCGACAGTTGCCTCCACCGGCCTAAGAGGAAGAATTCCGTGAAGCATATCGCGAATCTCCTGAGTGAATCGATCAAAGCGATTATCCAGTCGAGTTATGAAACTAGTCACGCGTTCGTCGATTGTACCTCGAGTCGCCGCCATTGTGCCAAGACAGGGCTCTGATACCACCTTGTCACGCCCTGGGGAGGAAGAAGAGTCTTGGCGAAGATGATTTTCTGGAGAAGGTCTGGAAATGGAGGAAGAACAGAAAAGAAGGGGAAGAAGGGAGAAGACAGAGCAGAGGAGAAGAAGTAGAGATAGGGGAATTCTTATTCTGTTATTCGATAACTCTCCATTACAGCAGACCCTTTCTTTTATATGGCTTCCTAATTACAAACTAATCCCCAAACTATATCTTGTTTACCCTTTGATCCCATTCGTTACAGAATCGTTACTCTATTATGTACACTGCCTGGCTCTTTTGTAGCTTCAGTGAATCCCTTGCACTTAAACAGCATTCAGTTAGTCAAGCTTACTCCATGTCATTAAAAGTCTTAAGTGTTTATGCTACTGCTATGGTTAAAATTTTGGTGCATTTTCATTTAGAATTGCTGAAACGTACCCGATTGCTTACCTGAAAATATGGCCTTTTAAAGTTAAATTTTCCGTGCAACCAGAAATTCCTCTCTTAGTATGCTGAGATCCCTGAACTGCAGTGAACACGGCTTTTAGGACTTTCTATTCACCTATGTGCTTCTTTGACTATATTATAACTGAGAACACAGCATCCTGCAACTGCTAACTGGAATTTGTTGTTGATTTGGCTGACCACAAATGTGACAGGTTGTGATCAAGAAAATGGAGTCAACAAATTCTGAAGAAGAAAAGTACAGAGAATTTATGAAAAAGGTGGAGAGGACTGTTTACATCGACACACTCCCACCACAAGCTAATGAATCAGTGCTGAAAACTGGGTTGGATCAGTTTGGCGATGTCGTGAATGTAAGCTTCATTCCGAACTACATGGATCCCAGGAACAGCATGCGGTGTGCATTGGTCGAGATGAAGGACCCTAATCAAGCGAAAAACGTCATTCAAACGCTGACCAATTCCCCGTTCATGATTGCTGGCATGCCAAGGCCAGTGAGGGTGCTTCCTGCTGAGCTGGAGATGTTTGATGACCGTCCAAGAAAGCCCGGCAGGAAAATAACATTCAAGTGGTTGGAAGCAGATGACCCGGACTTTAAGGTCGCGAAAGACATGAAGCGTGCTGTCGTAAGGCATGCTACTGAAGCTGCATTAGCCCATAAGGTATTGTCTTTCCTTCTTTTTCTTTTCATGGTCTAGTCTATAATAGGTCGATTTGATCTGTAGTTTTCCTAAATGCTGTTTGCTCTTTCTTTCTTTTTTTCTCTTTCTCCAGCAACATCTGGAGGAAGAAGAGAAGCTGCACAAACAGCAATTGGAGATCCTGAAAGCAAATTACAAGAAGTACGAGGTGGTCGATGGTGTGATAAGCGACGGGACAGCCCAGCGTGTGGCGAAGAGATACGGTATGAGAGTTGCAGATGAGTGATAGGGACAAGACAGGGATATTGAAAAAGAAAAACCACCTACAAAGTCAGTCATAAACCAAGACGATCAGATGGCATTTCACTGTCCATTTTCACCAAGTGCCTGCAACGTTTCAACAGACAACAATAACTTTGCTTAAGCAAACAGACTCCGCCTAGCAGCAACCATCCTCTTCCCCACCATTTTCAATCCATATAATGCCCCGAACCAAAGGAGAGGAAACCCAATGTGAACCAAAGAAAGAAGAAGAAAAAGAAGAAGAAATGAATCTCCAGTTCAAGAATCCTGATGTGTTTCAGCCTGAATGGGGATCTGAAGGAAGCATCCATCTCACCTTCTTCAAGTGCCTCACATGGCAGGTGGAACAAACGCTCAACCCTTCCTCCTGCCCTTACCATTACTTCTGTGACAGCAAGTACCCCGGCAATTACCCGGTCTACGTCGACATCCTCGTCTTCCTGCTCGCAACAGCTTCCTTCCTGGTGACCCTAATCGTCCTGACGATGGAGGTGCTGTCAGGAAGCAGCAGCAACGAGGTATGTCGATCCAGAAGATACTTGCTGCCGTCTGGTCCAATCCTCCTTCCCGCCATCCTCCTGACGCTCGGCAAAGGCTACAGAATCCATACAATACTCCCCGTTTCGAGCATTGGCCCCGCGATCCTCCTCCTGCTCCAGGTCTCTTCCCTCACATTCGACACCGGAATCGATAGGGATGCAAGATACGCCTTCTTTGAAGCCTCTACGGTGTCTGGAATTCTGCACGCCAGTCTGTACTTGGATTCCGTCATCATGCCTTACTATACCGGGTTCGATGCCCTGGTGGCCTCCAAATTCTCGGGGCAGTGTCGCTCCTGCATTTGTCGAGAGGAACCTCTGGTGGTCGGGGGAAGGCTTGTCGGCTACCGGGGTTGGTCGCCGACGACGTTCCTGGTCGCTGGAGCTCTGTGTTGCAGGATCGTATGCAGGGTGAAAGCCATGAGCAGCAAGAGCAAGACCATGGCGGTGAAGTCTTGGCTTGAATGGTTGAGTTGGGTTATGATAATGAGGGATTGTGTTGTGCTAGCGGTTAACAGTCCACCTGCTGCAAGTTCGATTTCACCGGCTGTGGGAATCGGAGGTGTAGTTCTGTTGGTGTGTCTTCATGTGGTGAAGAAGACTGCTGCGCTAATTAGGACGGGGCATCATTTCATTCATACAACCACAATTTCTTTGACTTCTGTGTAACGCCACAGATATAGATCTGCAACTTTTTTTTTTGAAGTTGTTTCTTCCTCCCAACATGGACAGCGAATTGTATAGAGTTGTTTCAGTGATTGATCATAGGGTCCTCTAATTCTCTATAGCAGCGGCGGATCCAGAACAGGGTAGAGTACTGGGCCGTATTTGAAAAGAGGCGGAGAGGGCTAGGCCATAGTTCGACAAAACCCAAAAACACACAGAAAAAATACTAAAATAAAAAATTTACACGTACTATACTAGTTGTGGATCCAGAGGAGGGCTGGGCTGTGGCCCGGGGGCGGCCCCTGAATCCGTCGTTGCTCTAAAGTGATTGATGGTGGTACACTTGGAGAATAAAGTGATTGATGGTGGTACACTTGGAGAAAGTTTATACCAAATGAGCCTATTGTACGACTTAACGACGTCATTCGCTAATCTTAGATTCTAATTTCTGTTTTTTTTTTAGGATAATCGATTCTAATCTCTACTATTATGGAACAAGGTTGTTGAACCGCCCGTTGACTCGTTTTGATCCTGACCTAGTAAGGAAAAACGAGCCATACACACTTACAAATCGACCCGCTGCAAGGTCACTGTATTAGTTATCTACTATTCAGTCCCTAAAAGGGACGACACCGTTTAGTCACCCCTACTACCTACACTCCCACTGCCACGACCACTCCCGTCATCCGTCACTTCAACTGATACACAGAGAGAGAATCAGCGCGCCGAGCAGAAAATCAAACTTTCCCCAAAATCCAAAAAGAAAAAAAAGGGGGGAGAAATAGGGAATTGATCCATGAGATCATCACTCTTCTTCGCAGTAATTGTTATGCAGCAATCTCAACTTCCTTCCTCCACCGCTCCAGAATCTCCCTCTCCCCCTCCCCCTCTTCCTCGCCATCGCCGCCGCAACCGCCGACTCTCCGATCAGCTTCGCCGCCGGATTCTATGGCGGACGTCCTGCCGCCCACCGTGGAGGCGCTCATCCACCTAATCTGCCTTGTGCACAAACAGCCTCCTCTCCCGTTCACGACGAGGCGGCAGCTAGCTCGGCTGGGCGAAATTGAGTCCATGGCCATCCTCCGCGAAATCGACACTCGGGGAGTTAGTAAGACTTTCGACGATTCCGTTCAGATGATCCTCCGAGGGAAATCGCCGTCGCAGTCGCAGTCCCCGTCGACAGCTCCACTGTATTCTTCTTCCTCTTCTACATTTACATCCCCGCAGCGGCAGCAGCAGCTCAGTGGTAGCCCTAAACCCACGTGGCTAATGATGCATACTCGAGGTAAATTTTGTTTTTTTTGGTTTTCTTTCCCCTGAAGAAGGAAGCTACCTGGGTTAGTAGTTACGGCCTTTTTTCTCTGAATTTCACTTGCTCTGATTGTGATGCCCAGTTGGTCAATTCAGTCAATCTTCTGCTGCTTCTACGCCAGTGAAGCGCCTTCGTCTGTCTCCACCGCCGTCACCGCCGCAGCAGCTCGCTCGTAGCCTTTCTCCCACGCTGCTCATGACGGATGCTCGAGGTATTTCCCCGACTGCTTCTCGTAGTTAACGGCCCTTTCTCTGAATGTTTTCTTTCCCCCCCGATGGCCAGATGGTGACTTGGATCTTCAATGGGTCGTTCGTCGTAAACTGGAGGACGATTTCCGTGATCCTCCGGCCGCTACCATGGAGCATCTGAAGGAGCTTGAATTTAGGAAGGCATTTCTCATATTGAGCTACCTGAGAGGGTTAGTTCTTTGGTGCATTGGCCTTTGTTTCTCTTTAAATGATAAAATCACATGTTGCTTGTGGAGTTAATGTAGAGTAGAGATTCTTTGTCTATTCGCATCCTCCTTGGACAGGAAGAAGTTGAAAGACTATATGAATATGACGGCCGATCAAATCAGAGAGCTACGGAGTTTACCGATGAGAAAATTCGAGGAACTAGTTTGGAGTGCCGTTGGCATGTCATGTATCGGGGATGAAACACAACGGATAAAGGTAAACGACGGGGAGAGGAAAAGAGAACTCACAAGTGAGGTTGGGATGTGGTTGGAGATGGTTAGTTCTCCATAAATGTTGGCTAATCGGTTTCCCTTGTTTCTATTTCCTGTGTTGTCCAGAGTGATGATTGGAACCCCAAGCGGCCTCATGTGTATCAGTGCACTGTGGACCATAACCACCACGACAACTATGATACTGGGTTGAGTTATGAGTTCAAGGTTGGAACTTTTTCCTGGAAATGTACACAAGCAAATGTGATATCAACTGTCTTTTGCTGCATGTAATTTTTGGTTCAAGTGAGTAGCTGCCACACTTGGGCACAGCTACGAATGCCATGACTACTTTTACTCAGTAACAGTATGCTATACTTTCTTGTTATATGTGTGTGTGCTACTTTTTGGGTAAAGTTAGAGGTACTTGGTCAAGGAATATTTACTGCTATAGGTTTATTTGTTTCTCTCAGGGTCCTTACTTTACCAACATGAGAAATTTCCTGCATGCTACTCTGGGGGATGAGAATGTTTTGCTGGTCAAGTTCAGTGACAAGGGGAACAAAGATAAAAGCATACCAAAGTGCAATGATCGTTGTTATGCCAAGTATGCGACAGATATCATTAAAGATGGGATTCATGTTGGTCCGCATCGTTTCCATTTTTTCGGTGGGTACATATATTTCATATTTGAGCAAGATTTCTCCTCTTGTTATATCTACCTACAATGCTCAAGAGTGTGCTTAATGTCACCTTTCGGTGCAAACTGAAAATAGGTTGATTGCCGACTTAGTTGCTTTTCTTGTGTTCCATTGATAAATACCGTATTCTAAAGAGTATGAATTCGATAATGACTGGGTGAACTGCAGCTATATGCCTATTGACTTCAGTACATAGTTCCTTGGCTTTTAAGTTTCACCTGATGTAAGAGATTTTGGTTTTCCTCTGCTGTGACAACCATATGGTAGATTTAGAATAAGCATTGTTGACATATATTCATTGTGTTTCCACTTGATCTCTTTCCTCCCAACCACAGAATTGCTTACTGTGGTATGCTTGGAAGTGAAATTAGTACAACGCTTTCTACCAGCAGTCAGCATTTTACTCTTAATAGCTTATGCTTTTGCTCTTTTCTGTTAGACTGTTACTACTGCCTGCTGTTAGACTTAAATTTGGTGTCTCCTTGGTTGCTACCCAACTTCGTTTCTCCTTAACAGAATCTAGCTATTAAAATTTAACAGTGTTCAAAGACGGACAGAAAGAGGAAAAGAAGAAAGATTCAACTACATCACCAGTGAAGTGTTATTTTATCCGCTTGGATGGCAATATGAAATTCAAATCGATTCGTGAAGCTAGATCTTTCTTTATGCATCTAGACTCTTTGCCAAATTTATCCAAGTACATGGCTCGGTTAGTACAGTCGAGCACAACCTCCCCTCCCCTCGTCATTCCCTTCTCTGATAACGTGTTTTGAGAACCTATTGTTCACTGTTGCATGCAGGTTTTCTCTCATTTTGTCAAAGACCATAAAACTGGATGTGGATCTAGCAGATGTGTTTGTTGATAGGGCCGATGACATTCTTTGCAGCGTAGTGCCTGAAATTATGTTTTCTATCAGTTCGTTAGAGAATAAATGATTTAATAAGGATTATCGACCTCCTTTCGATGGAGCTCAGGACCATTCTGCCATTTATTTTAATGCAGGATGAAGAAGGTAAGATTGTGTATGATAAGAAAGGCAAGCCGCTCATATATACAGATGGAACTGGGTTCATATCAGAGGATTTAGCACGGTTGTGCCCAATTGTAACTCAAGGGAGGTGCCTGGACAGTGACATTGGGGAGGTTTGTACCTGATTGCTGTCAACAGTAGACCATGTATGCTATAATCAATGCAACAGCCTGTATCTCAAGTTTGTGTTTCTGAATAAAATTTTCTCTGTTTTTTAGATTGATAATTAGTAGAAACTATTGGTAATTTGGTATGGTATTAAATTTCATTTTCATTTACAGATTTACTGGAGAAAAAACTCTAATCTAAAATTCAATGTTAATTAGCTACAATGTGCATGACAATTGACTAATGGGTTCCAGAACCTATTCTGTCCATGGTGCTATGCCTCTCATGATCCTATTTGTTTCGACATTCCATGTACTGACCTTGTTTTTGGGGATATTTTTGCTTGCATTATAATCGTGGATTTCTCTGGATCAGAATCGTGAAGTGAACTTGTTAGGATCTCGTCCCAGGGAACCTGTAAGCACCTTTTTAACTAGCTAGTTTTTATGTTTATGCACCAGTCCAAATGGCACTTAATCATTCTCCGCATATGGTTGTTTTTTTGTCTTGAAGCCCTTGCTTATGCAGCTGCGCCTTTTTCACAAAGGAAAAGCTATAAAGGGAACTCTGCTTCTTAATAAGAAGGTAATTTGGTAGTTATGGAAATTCATACAATTTTTTTCTTCTTCATTTGTGGCTAAATAGTAGCTGATTTTCATTTTTCAAGCAAAGGTTTAATCACTAAAATTTAAGCTGGAAAGACAACTCTAACAAACAAACTTCCCAAATTTATTTTTTTGAATTGTTCATTGTGAACCTCACAAATTAAATGTTAAAAGAACACCACTTATAATATTTTCATTTCCAATTTTCGTCCCTCTAGCTATTTTGTGGTGGAATATTGATCAAATGTTGGTCTCATTGCCATCTTTTTTGTAGCTTTCTCCTAAAACCATTGTCTTTCGCCAATCCATGGTTAAAGTTGATGCGGATCTAAATCTGTCACATAAGGCTACTGCAAACTCAATGGAGATAGTTAACACAAGGTACTTTGGGAAGTTATTGCTGCTTTGCTTTAAAGTGTGTAGTATTTTTTTTTCCCCTTTCTTATAAGAGTGATATAGGTTTTACTTTTTTAGCTAGGTACTATTGAAGGGATTTGAACCTGTGACCTCCAGGTTCAAAGCTAGTGGTATTACCACTAGACCAACCCTTGTTCGTTAGAGTGTGTAGTATTTTACCTACCAAACTTCCGTTGTAATTTCTTTTGGGTCGGAAGAAACAGGAGCAACCGGGAACTTATCACATTTAATTTGATACCCTAATGAGTCCTAGAGGAGCGAAAGGGAAAGTACCAGCATCAAGGTGGTCTATGAAGTGAAACTTCTGTTGTTGTTTAGCAGCTACGTAAGGGAGCTACTCCTGGTTTTAAATGTAGATGATTATTATTATCATTATTGATGAGAATATATTATTAGAGTCCCGACATATAAGGACTGTATATGTCCAAATATGTGGATGTTTCTTGTAAAAAAACCGGTTGCCCAGAAATGGATAAGCATGCCCTTGCTATTGATCTGGCCTAAAGTACTGCACAGTTTACTGTAAATGAAAGGAGAGTGATAAGTTAATATTGACGTAATAATTTAAAGTGAGAAATTGACTTATCCAGGAAGTCTGTCAAGACAGAGAATGTCCTGGAACCACTGGTAATTTTTATCTTCCTGGTCATATATTGGCTTTAGAAGGAACTATCCTGGGAAATCTGTCTGAATATCTTCTTTCTACAGATAAGTTTCTGTGGCTTAAGGTATATGACAGCATCTGATATTAAGACCTATTTTACAGCCGTCGCCCAAAGCCTGCAGAGCTTTCAAGAAACTTGATTGCCCTGCTCAGCTATGGAGGTGTTCCAAAGGACTTTTTCATGGATCTCGTGGGTAAAGCCTTAGATGATGCTCTTGTTTTCAAAAGGCGTGCTGCTGCTCGAGGTGGGTTTCCTCCTAAAGCATATTGCAGGGATAATTTACTAGTCCTGGAACAGTGATGGTAAATCTGTTTACACAAATTGGCTTTCACTCATTATTATCCGATACTTTTGTATCTGGAACTATTTTCAGGAAGATTTTCATGTCTCAAAATTTTGAATGACTTCTGTGCATATTCCTAAGGGGCAGCTAATATCTTTTATTGCTTCCCTTAGTGCTTGTTTTCCCAGTTGTTTGTTGGTAAATCAATTGACCGTCTTATTAACTCTTAAGTTTAATTTTCAACTAATTTTATTTACCCAGCTGCAAGTTTTCCTTATGAGAAAGAAATGCTTTTATCTGGGATTCCACTTGAAGAATCATACCTGAAGTTTCGTTTGCCCAACTTGATGACTGACGAGAAGAAAAGGTTGAGAGGAGGAAAAATTCCTTTGCCCGAGTCATATTATTTAATGGGGACAACTGATCCCTCCGGAGTTTTGAAGAATGGTGAAGTTTGCATAATCTTGTGAGTACACAATTTACTTCCTTTTCACTTCTGTTATTGCTTTTAGTTTTGCCAAGTTTTCCGGTATGTGTTGACATGCAAGAGACATGGAGTCGGTTTCACAATGAGTTTGGGAATGCTGGTGCGACAGATGACAAAGAGGCTCCACTGATAAACAGTGTGAAGTCAAAAGTCGTTAACTCGTGAACTATACTATGATTCACTCAAGTTTGTGCAGTATGACAATGGTAGTTTAGCTCTTATAGTTGATAGCTTGTTGCAGGTTTAGTCCTCAAATTATACCTCAAATACAAATTGAAGTTGTTGCAACACATGTTTGCCCGTTTTTCTATGATTCCCATGAAGGGTTTTTTGAACATGACGGCCATAAAGCTGGTTATGTGCTTGTTTACTTTCTACCATGTTACATTATATGCTACGAGGTATACTAAATTTTCAGAATGATTGGGTGTCACGTTGTAGTATTTGCTCAAATTTTTACAAAATAACAACTGGTTGATGAAGGATTTATCAAGTAATCTGCTAATTCTAGAATCCTTCATTTTTGTTGGTACAATGTAGAGATAATGGACAGGTTTCTGGAAAGGTGTTAGTATATAGGAACCCAGGATTGCATTTTGGTGATATCCATATTTTAGAGGCCGTCTATCTGAAGGAAATGGAAAGTTACGTGGGCAGTTCCAAATTTGCGATCTTCTTCCCTATTCATGGACCAAGGTCCTTGGCAGATGAGATGGCTGGAGGTGACTATGACGGTGACATGTTTTTTGTGTCGAGAAATCCTCAGGTTAGTTTTCTGCTTGGCCTATGAAAAGTTCAATTTATTCAAATCAGTATCTTTTAAGGCAAAGCTGTAATTGTTGACTGGTGAGGGGCTAATGCCGAGAATGTTATGCCGCAGAGATGATAACGTGATTGTTGCTCGTGCATTGATTTTCATTATATGCCCCATAAGCTCCTATATTTGATCGTAAGTCTGTGCGATGTATGTATCCATCCTATACTAAGCTGCTGGCTCATAGTCTGCCTTATGCTCTTACTCTAGAAAGAAGTTGTTTCTCCAGATCTATGCTGAAACCTATGTTGATTCCATGCTATACACTATATGATATCTCTTTTAACATGTCTATACGTGTCTTTGATTTGGGAGCCATTAGCAATGTGAGGGGTTATGTAAGATGACTCGTACGCTGCACTTTTGTTTCAGCTGCTGGAGAGTTTTCTTCAAAGTGAACCATGGGAAAGTTCTTCTCTGTCTGCTTCTCAATGTGAAAAGCCAAGCGAAATTCCGAGCAAAATGTCTGATGAGATGTTGGAGACTGAGCTTTTCAAACTATTTTTAGCAACACGATTTAATGCAAGGTATCCATTTACTGTCAGTGTTCGATATGTGTTTCTCTTATCTCTTTTGAAGCTGTTCAGGTTTTCTCATCTTAGTTCTCCGCTGAAAGGTCACCTTTTGACGTCATGACCACTGAAACGATTGCCCTTCTGCAACGATTTTGTGGTTCAAGTGATGTGTCATTTCTAATCGACAATGGTGTCCTCAGATTTGATAAAGGAAAGGTGGTAATGTTTCTTCTCAGTTCCACTGCAGGGATGGCTGCTGAAAGCTGGCTGGCAATGATGGACCGGCTTTTAATAGCGGAATTTGATGGTACAATTGACGTGAACAAGTGTGCTTTGAAGAAGAATATCCTGAGCGTGATTGATATATATTACGACGCTCTAGATGCACCAAAAAGTGGAGCAAAGGTTAGTATATTCTTCATTCCCATTGGTCTTATTTGTGTGATAGTGTTGTTCTCCGAAAAAACAACAGTTTGTTACGTATCGTCGTTAAATGCCGCAATTGTGATCTTGACGTAAGGATATAATACTCCGAGGAAAAGTATTATCTATTTAGGGAACCAATGATTTTTGTTATGGAGTTGAACTCTGCATTTTCTCATTCACTTAGGTTGAACTTCCACCAAAGTTGAAGATGGATAAATTCCCGCACTACATGGAAAAGCCTGACTATAGGTCGTACAAGTCTACTTCGATACTGGGACTAATATATGATGAAGTGAGGAAGTATGAAGCTAGGGATGACATGCCAATTGGTGGTAATAAGCTTTTACTTATTCTGCTAGTACCTTTCAAAGCTAAGGTCAACCACTTTTGTGCTGTTACCTGCATTCAATGATCTTTTTAACAATGACATGGCGTAGAAATCGTGAAACTGCCGTGCTTCGCTGGACAAGTTCTTCCACATCTCATCGAGAAGTGGGAGAAAGAGTATAGCCTCTACAGGATTGAGATGGCAAGATGTTGTAGCAAAGAAGTTGGGAAAAATATAGCTGCCGATGAAATCAATGAGAAATACAGAAAGGTGATACAGTTTTGAGCTTTCATTTTTATCAATGATCGAAGTTCGCTAGACTCTGTTTGTTCGAATTGATAAAAGTACTTTCCGTTCCTCCTTTCGATAGCCCACATAATGGCTTTCCATTCCTCCTTGTTGCTATTGGCTAGACTCTTGTTTGTCCAAATTCTATGTTCTTTTCGATTCTGTTTTTACGTAAAATCACATTTTTGACAACCATGCTATCATCTCAACTTCAGATCTTCTATGGCCCCACTGGGGACTTCTGTACGAGCGAGAAGAAGCAGGAAGAATTGTTCAACGAGGCTCGAGCAATATATCAGGTTGTTTATGAGTATGCCGAGCAAAGGAGACGTTCGGCGGCAAATGACCCCGAGAAGGTAAGGAAAGCCATTAACTTATGTGCCTTCGCATGGAAAGTAGCAGGCTCGGCTCTCTGTGCATTGTACATGTCGAGTCGCGGCGAGAAGCCCTTGCTGTGCTCCGAGTCTGCTTTCAAGGAAATGTTTGGACAAACCAACAACTCCGCCAAGTAAGTTGCCTATGCGTGGAGGCTCGTGTATGTATGTAGCTATGTACAATCGTTTAGAACTCCTGTAGAAGCACTGTATCTTGGCTGCACTAATGTATCTGCTAATGTAGTGTTGCTGAGCTTGTCAACTGGTTCGTTCAAGTTTAGTTTTAGTGATTGATCAATCTAATCAAGAGAAACAGATGTTAGTTGTGAGTGAGTTATTGCCGCAGCCTTAAGGCTGTGCGCGTGTTATGTATTATACAAAGAACTCATGTATTTTACAGGTTGGATGTAAGAATCTATGTATTGTCAGGATAATTTGTTTGGTTTACAGGAATTTTGATATTGTCAAACGAGGACTCACATAATTGGATGATGGTTGGCACGGGGTACTTCGCGAGTAAAGCTAAACTACACTATTTTTCGTTCAGCTCATGACAATATTTTTCGTCTCCATCACAATATGCATGTAAATACATCTTCTACCACTACATATATGGTAATATTTTTTATTTTACAATTTTATGTAGTAAATCACCCCACAAGTATTTCAACCACATAACCAATGTAGTCAAAAAACGCGTCTTAAAATACAAACATGCATGTTTTTACGACTCTAACTAGACAAAACGCTTTAGTTTTTATATAAAAACGTATTGCATGTAAAAAGTAAAAACGTTCAAAAAGTGGTAAAAACGCTAAAACAGTAAACACGAGTTTTCTAATCTGTTTTGTACGTTTCTAGTTGAAGGATTTTCAACCAATTTCACACCCTCTCTCCAGTATTATCTACCAATAAACCAGCGTTACAATATTAATTCCTACGGTCAAATCGACCATCAAATAGTCTTGAACCTGTCCTTAAAGTTTGGGCCGATCCAACGGTTGATTTTTCCAAAATCCTCTCTAAAATGAACTGCTCAGCTACATGATCACATCCTGTCTGAACAACAATACTTCTCGACGAACCAAAGATCATAAAAATGATCCGAACGGTCAGAACAGATCGCATAAAGTATGGAACGCGTCCTCTAAATCTGAGGACGATCGAACAGTTGGTGCTTTTGGAATCCCCCCTTGAACTCACTGACTTGCTGCAAAACCAAAAATTATGCAGATCCTCTATTCTCTCATCCTTTTTCTTCTTATTTCATTCCCAATTCCCCGCACCAATTTCCCGTCAATTTAATGGTTCCTTCAAGGTTTGTTGTTAGTTCATAATTTAAAACTCATTCAAATATTAGGATGATGTCACTTTGATGCGAGGATGATATGCATTTTCAAAAAGGATTACTTTATTGTTTGATGTGCGGTTGAAGTGATTAACATTTACAAATAATTTGGTTTTTCCCTTTTAATGGATGAAGAACCTCGTAATAAAATAAGTCTCAGTAATCTTGTTTAATTTGACTTCTAGATTGAAACAAGATGGCTGATAATGGGGTGTAGTTATTAATTGGTTATACTTTTTTATGAATGAATCATTATTTCATTATTGCATTGTTGGTTTAGCTTTACGTTTGCTCCACTATTACAAATTTGTAGATTATTTGCATGAGTAGTCACCCTTTTAAATGAGACATTTAGTTTGCTGAAAATTAATGAGATCATACACAAACACTTACGCTTTTACATTTTTACTCATGTTTCAGCTTCAGCTTAGAAACGAGCATTTGACTACATTGCACATAACATATATGGCTCTTTCGGACAAAAGGATTTTGAGTTTTGGACCACAGATTCAACAAAAATTCTCGATCGATGTTTAAATCGAATCAAATATATTTTAACTTGATTTTGGTCCTCTAAATTAATTTTAGCATGAAAAAAAATCGAAATTAAATTTGAACCGAACCGATTCTGTCTCAATTCGATCTTGTTTCGGAACGAATAGAGATGCCCACCCCTACCAATCACTAGGGATGGCAATGGGTCGGGTTGGGGCGGGTTTTGTCAAACCCAAACACAAACCCATGGGTTTATCCGCCAAAAAAACCGGGGGTAAAACACGCTGGATTTGAAAAACTCAAACCCAACCCAATCCGTTGGGTATACGCGGGTTCATGGGTGCCCGTGGGTTTTTGTGGTAAAAAATTTACAATAACAAGTTTCTTTCAAAATAAAAGTTTAACATCAATTTTCTCATAAAATTATTCATACAAAACACACCAATCTAGAGCATACAAGCAAACCGCAAATGATCAATACAAATTGTTCAAATTAAAGATAAACATCTATAAACAATAAGATTAATTGAAAGCTTCTTCCTCGTCAACTAAGTTTCTTCACTCTCCACAAACATAAAAAATATTAGTTGTTTAAGGGTGACTACTTCGGTGCACTCACTTTTTGGGGTGCATTCAGTGCACCCACCTCTAAAAGTGGTCATATTACATTAAATTTTTAATGGGTAGCATTAGTCTCATATGATGATATAACACAGAATCACAACTAATCAACCCATTACCCTAACCTATTAACATTCAATTTTGAATCTAAACCCAAAATCCCAAATTGTAAACCTTAACCCTAACCCTAAATTCCTAAACCCTGAATCATTCAAATTAAAGAGAATCTTGAATGATTTTTGTACAAATTCACGTGGTTCTTGTTCATCATACCACAAGGGATGATTGCCATCGTTTTCACATGAATCGCCTGCTCAGAATGACGATTATGAGGCGGGTGCATTCAATGCACCCAAAAAAGTGTTTGCACCGAAGACATAACCTTAGGGAAGATATATTATTTAGAATATTAAATATACCGGGAAAGTAATTATATGTGTGTGGGCGAGTACTCATGGAGCGAGTTTACCTAAACCCAAACCCAACCCGACCCGATAAATAGTGTAGCGGGTTTAATCCTAAACCAGACCCAAAACTCGTCAACATGGGTTTTACCCGCGTTAACCGGGTTGGGTCGGATGGGTACCCGTGGGTTCAGGTTTTGTTGCCATACCTACCAATCACGACTCCTTTTCATCCGTCGGAGAAAGAGAGACAATGAGCGGGAGAATCAAACTTAAAATAAAAAATATAAACAAATCGGGAAATTGCGCCGTGGAAATTAATTCCTGCCAAATGCCATCACTCTTCAGTCCAATCACCATTCCAGCAATAAAGCGACGAGACGGACAGTAAAACTCCAACTCTCCGATCACCTTCCATGGCGAGCTCTCCTCAGCAGCAAGTTCCCCTCCCCGAAGCCGTGGAGGCGCTCGTGGCCAAAATCCGCAACGAGCAGCACCAGCCTGCGCTCGGGCTCGATACGAGGCGGCTGCTGGCCGGAGTCCCCGAACAAGTTTCCATCGAAGTTCTCAGCCAGATTCGCGGTCACGATATCAAGAAATCGTTCGACGGCTTCATCATCTACTTGCTCCGTCAAAAGTCGCAGTCGCCGTCGCCTACGAAACGCCTGTGCGTTCCTTCGTCGACGTTCCAAACCCCGACTCCGTCGCCGCCGCCGCCGCAGCAGCATCAGTTCGCTAGCCCTACTCCGTTGGGGCGCATGACGGAATATCGAGGTAAATTTTGTCAGTACTGTGGAGAGTGGCTGTTGCTTGATTGATTCTGAATTTTTGCTCATACGCTGTCTGTTAGAATCCCTTTTTGATTTTCTAATTGTGATTGCCAGTCGGTCAGTCGAGTCCTCAACCGTTCGTTCCTCGTGGAATGGAATGCCAATTACAGTATTCTCCGGCTTCGAATGGAGGATCGGCTGCGCCGGTGGAGGTTCTGAGGGGGTTGGAATTTAGGCAGGCGTTTCTAATCTTGAGCTATCTCGGGGAGTGAGTTACCGGCGTGCTGTTATTATCCTGTTTTCCCCCTTCCAAATGTCGATTTCTGCATTTGCATGTCGATTTAATTAAAGAGACTCATATCTTTCTGCATCGTCTTTGGGCAGAGAAAAGCTGGACGAGGAAATGGCAAATCGAATCAGAGAGATGAGAGGTTGGGGTTTACCGACGACAATGAGAAGTTTCGAGGAGCTAGTTTGGAATGCTATTGGCAAGCACTGCCTTAGGGATGATAAGCAATGCAGGATAAAGGTAAAACCGTTTGAAGTTAGGTAAGGAAACGGTCTGTGACTGAGAGATGGCTACTTTCTCTGTCTTCCAAATTTGGTTAATTGGTTTGTCTCCCCCTGGTTTCTATTCTATTTCCTCTTGTTGTGCAGAATGTTGATTGGGATCCCACCAAGCCTCATGTGTACCACTGCATTGTGGCCCATACCCATTTCGATAATCGGTTAGCTATCACTTTCAAGGTTGGAACTTCTTCCTGGAATTGTGCACATGCTAAACATAATATCAAATGGTTTCCAAAAACCATGAAGGATGATGTTCCTTAGCTATTTTAATGGCAATTTCGAAGTATGAACGGTTTCTTTGGCTGCCAGATTGGCTTTACATATTTATAGTAGCCTTGTATATCATCTGTTTTTCTTTTCCCTCAAATCTTAGAGGTGTTTGTCAAGGATGTTTACTGTTTATGCTTATACCTTGTACAACACTCAGGGGCCTTACGTAACCAACATGAGAAACTTCCTGCAAACGACCATGGGCGATGACAATGTTTTGATGGTCAAGTTTAGTGACGGGCTTACAAGAGATGGCAAGACAGAAAAGTGCAGCGAGCATTGCTATAAAAAGTTAATGAGCATTGCTAGCAATGGGATTCAAGTTGGTCTGCACCATTTCCGGTTTTTTGGTGGGTATAGAGATTAAAGTGAAATTTCGAGTCTGTGCCACAACTTCTAAGCATGTTTATTTGATAAAATATATGATGTCATTATGTCAATGCAACATAGTGCTTAGTTGCCTTCATTTTGATTCATTAAGAAAGTGTCTGTCCTCAGAAGCATGAGTCTGCGTTCGAATCCCTCAGATGTTGGAACCTCACTAACATGCTTTTTCGTCAAAACAAAAATAAAGAATGCATGAATTTGATAATGGTGAAGTGAATTGCTGCTAGTTAACTTTGACTTAAGTTTCCTTAACATTTGAGTTACCTGATGCTAGAGGTTTTGGTGTTGTGACTTCTGTGGCAAACATGAATGATGAATGTAGTTCACTAGAATGGATTTTCGATAAGCATTGTTCACGTAGATATGTGCATGCATTGACTTTTACAAATATCAGAATTGCATACTTCACCTGACCTGCTAGAAAGTGAAATTAGTGCAAGGATTATTTTTTTCTTATTAACCCCATTTTGACACTGACAACGGCTAGTATTCTGTTCTTTCTGGAACTGCCGCTGTTGAAATTAAATTGAGTGTCTCCTGGGTTGCAATGTATCTTTGTTATTCCTTGACTGAATCTAGCTATTAACAGTGTTCAAAGACGGAATGAAG